CACGGTGTGATACCCACTTGAACGTTGAAAAACGAGCCGGCTTTTGATTTAGCTGGTGAGTTTTTGACGCTTGGCCTTGGATCTCGCAAGATTTTTAGTGGATCAACAATTTTGAAGATATGCATTGTTGTGTTGTTTTTGGAGTCGTTCGGAATCGGTTGCTTGAAGGAGCTCAACATGATTTTTCGGAAATGTTTAAAGCGTGGCCATCATATTTTGGTACGTAAGGATTTTAGAGAGAAGTGTGTTCCATAATTTACGAGAAGGATTGCCGACAAAAGCCATTGTAGAACACGCCACATGTAAATTGTGCCGAAAGTCAGAATGTGCCTTCATTGCACAGTGCATGTGCCCGTGCTGTTTGGGTTCAGTTACTTAGTATGCCGTCAACTACGCTAATCAGGCGAAGCCCTCAGCAGCGTCATGGTAGTCGTTTCACAGTCACCCAGTACGAGGACGACAAGGCTACAGAGACACCCAACTCAAGCAAACCGGAGCTTGTCGAGAGGCACACAAGTACAAACCAGTGTCGCATGCACTAGGCAGCAGGCTTGAACTATAGGCATTGTATTTTAGCACAGGTCGTTTGATCCATTGCTGGTTGCCCTGCACACACGGACGCGTCAAAGGCCGCGATTTCACGGATATGTCGGATATGCGCACCCATGTCAGCTATGTGACTTTCGTTCTACAGTTGCCTTCCAGCATCGAAGGCTTGCATGGCCGCGGTCCTGTCGCATGAGGCTGTCCAGCACGTGTGATTGCAACACCACATCCGCGATAGCTGTACAAGCCCCGAATTGTCCATGCCAGCATGCCTGCATGTTGGCTTCACAATTGTGAATTCATGTCACACTCGCGTGACACGCCACCATGACAAGAGGCCTGCCTGTAGCCTAATGGCGAATGCGCCACATTTGTGTCAATGTTCCTGATCGGGGATTCTTGCTCGGCCAGAACCACGTTCGCCAGAGCCCTCCGCCTCCGGTTGCGGGGCGGGAGCCTCGTCGTCTCATTCCATTCCCACTACTTAGCGACCAACCCTTCTGAAAGTGTTGTGCGCTATGTGAAGCTTTTTTCGTAGTGGCTTCGCTGGATTGTGCCGTCTTCCATGCTTGCTAGGTACAGCCCTTTGGTAGCCGCTTCCCAACAGGGAGCACCAGCCGAAAGCTGAGAGTATTCTTGCCTGCAATTCTCCTGCTCGCCAGTCCGGTCGCATTCGTCGACCCAGTCCCGTCGAGTCGAGTGCTTCACGACTTGATTTGTGTAGGTGCCCGGGGCTTTGTCCCGAGCGCGAACGGAGCCGAGACCCGGAGAACCTAGGCGGGCTGTGGCTTGTGATGCTAGGACATTGCATTGGTCTGGAGGGTGCGCGAGATTTTCGAACACCGAATATTAGCCGAATATTGATCGATTTAATCGAGTGGCTTCACTGGCTACAGAGAAGTGAGAAGTAAGCATTCTGTTGGCGAAGTTTCTCTGGTTGCATAGAGTATCTTGTAAGAAGTTTCGGTTTTTGCTGCCACACTGCACACCTTTGACGACGGCGTGCTGTCGTCTGACAAAAGCTGTGGAGGCCACCAGGGTCAGTCCAGGCCTTGGAGAAAGCCCGCCAGAGACGACAGAGTCTTCAGAGTCTGGGCGTTTCCATGTGCCTCAGATGTGCCTCTCAGGTGCAGTATCTTACCAGTTCGGTTGCCAGCTCACCGGGTCTTCGCCGGGGAACTCGGAGCTGGACGTACACCACACCACACCACAGCTGACATATGATACTTTGGTAGTCTTCGGTACTGAAAGCTGGCATTCTAGTTAGAGGGTCTGTGCACCTCCGCTCGGCTTCTCTGTCTGTCTGCATTCTTCCCTCGCGGGAGCACTGATGTTTTCAGACTTTCAGTTTAAGTGCCCCGTGTTCAAGATGCCTGGCTGGGTCGTAGACGGCCTGGGGACGCACGAAGGTCAGCAAAATCCACAAGATGATACGCAAAGATTGCAGCCTTTGTCGTACAATTCCGCCACGCAGCGACTTCGCGAGTTGCGATCCGGCCACAGGTCACGTTGCAGTCACCCCGCCGGCCCTTCAGGAGCAGGTCCTGTCGCAGGGACGCCTGGTCACTGCATGTGCAACGTGATGCGACATCATAAGAATGGGCTCGCTGTGAGAACGATGGTACACGGCCTACATGTGAGAGAGCCGTTTGTCTTGCTTCTGTGTTACAGAGGCATGCTGGCCGACGCCAGGGAACTGTAGCGCCATTGCAGCCAATACCGAGGACAGCTGCTGCTCCACAGTTTGGTCCCAAGCGAAGGCGCCAAAGCCTGTTCCGCTGCAGTCACTGCAGTCGTGTTCCGGCTTTTCTTTTTTTGGCTGCTTGGGCCTGGTGTTGCTCGCGGCTTCGCGTTGCCAAACTTGTAAACTTTAGTGGAGTTGGCTCTCGGTATCGGTTCTTCGTGGCCATGTTGGCAGGACTTTGACCGATGACGGATCGACAGGCTGGAATGTGGATGCAAATTTGCAAGTGTCAGCTGCAGTTGTTTCAGAAGGCACTTCAGCCCCTTCAGCTGCACTTGTGGCTGCAGTCGGGACCTCTGCGCTTGCAAGCTACGCGTAGCTGCACTGTGTTCGTACTCTTGCCAGAGACAGTCTATTTAGGCAGAGGTTGCGTGCCAGTGTGCAGCCGACACTTGCTAGCGAAGCAGGTTGGTAAAAATCCCGCAGGTCGCTCTGGACTGCTCCAGAGGTTCGCTTCATGTAAGACGATGAGTCCCAGGTGCAGCTCGCAGCTGCGGGTGCGCCTCCCGGCGAGGTTCCTGGGGCCGAGGCCTCGTGTATCTCGAGATGTTCAGTGGAGTGGAGTTCTTGTGTGGAGCCGTCGAAAGTGCCTAAGGCCTAAAGCACACTATGGTTTATACTTGGGCAGCACGAATTCGTGTCGAGTAGACCACGTTCCCTCCGGGGGAGCCACCTCTCTGTCTGGAAGGGAAGCACAAGCGAAGGCACGATGTCCATTCAATCAGGTTGTGTTCCTGACGATCGCAAATCACATGGATGAACTCTTCATCTGTAGCTTTTCTGGATGGAGACTGCTCCGCGCAGGTGCAGTGAAATTCCAGCCTATCGCTGGCGTGTGTGTAGTTAGTTGTTCAATGTGCAAGAGACTACTGGTAGCAAGCAAAGGGCATTTGTCCCGCATGTTCCACGATGCTACTGCTTAACGTAGGGGTGGATCATGGATCCGTGACTGCAGCGAATATCTATCGGATGTGCAACATAGCTGCACACCTTGACCATGATCTCGGAGCAACTGCTTTATGCATTTTACGTTGCCGTGTGTGTGTGTTTGTGTGTGTGTGTGTATGTTTGTACCATGTTAGCGAGATTGACATGACCTGTCTACAGCCTCTATGATTTGAAGCTGCTTTCGGGCAGGTGCCGGGCATATCACGGGCTCGTGCCTTGTCAGGGCCAAGTGAGGCACAACGGGTCATGTGCGATGTCTTGGTCCGAAACAGTAGCCAGATGCTCAGTGGCTTGGCATTCCTGCTTTTGCCAGGCCGTCAACAAGTTTTCACCATCTCCGCCACACTGCCGGGACTTGACAGTTGTATGGGGGTGTTTGCTGGTCAGCTGGGACTTGTTTGGACCGTGCATAGACAGGATCGGGAGCGTTCATTTCAGGCACAATGAAGTTTAGAAGCCTGTTCAACATGCGTGCCCAGTTGCTTGTTGAATGCCAGGCATCATCAACCAATACCATCTTCACCTTTTCTTCGATCCGGTCAGGACTGAACTGAACTGTTTTGTGGCTCTGGGTATTCGTGGCTGCTTACACAAGGCGCTTCGGGGGGGCCCAGGGGTTGTCAACGTTTCTTGTGCTCTCCGGTTGGTGCGTCCCCTGCAAAGCCAAACATGTTCTCGCCTGTTCCTGCGGTCATGTAGCCTCAAGCCCTAGAAATCCCACGGGGCAGAGGCATTCATGTCGATTTGGATGATGAGAAACCTGTCGCTAACTGGTGAATAGAAGCATTTTCACCGAAGTTTCACATCGTCCTGCTGTGCATTGCGGACTTTCTGTCAGATGTTGCGCAGGGTATTTGGTCAGAGGTCTCTAAGGCTCAGTTCCGTGCGTTGTCCGGCTGTACGTGCCCTGTGGCTGCGAGGTTGTTATCGTCGCTTTTGCTGGTGCCTGCAACTTCGCAGCCTGAGGCAAGCCGCAAGCTCTATCAGCAGTACATGAGACGTGGGAGAGCCTGAAACCTGAAACCCTAAAGGAGGTGCATTTTTTTGGATTTTTTTTTTGATTTTTTTTTAAGGGTTTGGTGCTTAGTTCTGTATTTTACTAGAAATACTCCATGTTCTTTTTATTTTAAGAGGAAAACCTTCATTTTCTCTATTTTTCGCAAAGTTTCTATATTTTCGTAGGAAAACCTGAATTTTCTGTATT